AGAGTATATTGATATATATATATATAAAAGCTTTACCACCTTCCTGCTCCGCTCATCGACCCATCTGATTGCACGTCATCATTGTAAATAATACCATTATAATACCCTTAATGCCATTGAACAAATTCTACTAGACCCACTTAATTGTATTAGCAGATATATTAGTGTTGAATTTAGTTTCTACTGAACAACCCAAATGTTTCCTCCTACTTTAGTAGAAGCTAAGCAACAATAGCATTGTTCCTACCATTACAACATCATTCCTGCATTAATGAGTTAATTATTGTTCATTCTATTAATTCACACAAATATCACAAATTTTAAGTAATGATAATGAATATTTATGTATTGGACAGTTTAAATTATCAATTAGAAAGTATCAAATCATTATATGATAATTCATTTCTATTCCTTTTTTCAGCCATGAAACAAAGATATCGTCTTGGCTACCCCCTGTGGAATCCTGGGATTCAGGTGGAGCTGGTCTCCCGTACGGCTGGGAGCAAGCATTGGACAAAGAGGGGAAAACTTACTATATTAAGTAAGTTCAGTTCTTATTCATATTGATAAGTCTTATAACTAATTCTTTCTATTCCTAACTATAGCAATAATTCCTAAATCTTAGGCAGTTTCGCTTTGTTGAAAGTTTCCACAGAAATTTCTGCTCAAGACCCATTTTTCCCTTTGAATAACAACAGGGAAAACGGATTTTCCAACTAGATTCTCCTTTTTTTCACTTGCTTTTACTAGTTTAAAAATTCTTTTAGCCGTCGAAATTGCTCAGTCAGTTAAGAAATAGTTTTATCAGTTTACTTTATCAATCTGAAATCCCAACTCATCCCAAAACATAAAGGCAAATTCTGAAATTTTAATTTTAATGAATAACACTTGAGGCCAAAACACTAAGCGAGAGTATATTGAGGCCAAAACACTAAGCGAGAGTAATAATTTACGCAAAACAGAAAATGAACATTTATTGGAAAGAGCAAGAATTAACTTTTGCAATATTGAGAGCATTTAAATTGGCACAAAATCTGAAGTGGAAGAAGATTTGAAAAAACATTAATATTTTAAAGTTATTAATTGTGATGTTTCTTATTTCACTTGATCCAGTTTTTAAATAGATCAAGTCCAGAAGATCGGTCACACCAAAGCAAATCATGAACTACCATAGGATTTTTCATGGATAAGGAGAAAAGCGCAGCTTCTGTTGCTACAAGATTTTGGAGGTCCGATGAATGAAGGGATAGTAATGTATTGTAACTACCTTTATTTCAGTTGCTCATATATCTGGCAATCAAAACTCAAAATATTACGTCTATACATAAAAGTCTTACACTTGTTGCACTTCTGAGAATATTTGGTGACGTTTTCATCAAAAGCACATATTCCGCCGAAGACTTCTTTCCTCGGAGTCTATATATCTAGCAAATTATTCAGATTGAAATAAAGGAAAAAATAAAAGTGTTATAATTAAAGTTTCCTTTATTGTACATGAGCAAATACATGAAACCTTTAATATAAGGTAATCATACAAAAAAAAGCACGGAAAGAAAGCAGAAAGCAAAATAGAATTACAGAGAAATAATTAAAAAATTAATAATAAAAAATTAATAACAAAAGAATAATTATAAAAGAAAAATTTTAAAAAATTAGCCACGAAAAAATTTATCCACTTTTTCAACCCACACAATTGTATCCGTAAAAAATAGTGCTATCTGATATTGTATAAATATCACCAAAGCAAATTTGAGAAGAAAAAAATATAACCAAAGCAAAGCACCTTCCATTATTTCACTGATATATTTTGCTTTGACAATGTTAATACAATTTCCGTAAGCACTAGTTTTTGCTGATGTAGGTTAAAAAAAAGATTATATCTTTCTGTGATTTATTTGTCTTTATTTTTATATTTTTCTTTGGAATACATAAATGTTTATTCACACAATACTTATTTAAAATACATTTTATTCGGATTCTTATCAGTTTCAGGCTTTAAGATAGTACAAGCAGAACAAAACATCTATTTGTGATAACACTGAATTCTAAATTTCTTAGTTTAGTAATTGAGAAAAGATTTTTCTTTTTTTCAGTTTGCAAGTGCAACAAAACGATACATTTCCCATATCTCTCATTACTGAAAGAGTTTCTGAAGAAAATCTTTAAAGAAAATCACTTTTCTTATTTTTTTACTCGAATAATAATTGCTGCCTTTTTTTTAAATGTAAAATCTTTCCTTTCCAATTTCTTCTGATAAAAGAAACAGCTTTCTCATTTTCGAAGCAAGATAAAACTTTAAAACATCATTATTTGCAATAAAAATATGTGATAAGAAGATGTTGCAGTAAATTAATTACAAATGTATCAAATAGCAAAGTGAATAATTTTATCACTCGTAAAAAAAAAAATATTTATTTGTTTACTGATAAAAACTAGCTAATAATATCAGCCTTTCATTTTGCAGAAATATCAATTTTTGTTTTTATTTATGTTATTTATTAAATAAATTTTAATCACACCAAACCAAACCTGAATCACATCAAGTCTGAACGCTAAGTTTTAAATATCTGAAGTAATTACCGGTTTTTCCAAAAATGATCCATAATTTGAAATTTCAACTGGAGAAAAACGGAAAAAGCTAAAAATCTACGGTTCTGTTTAGAAAACGAGGCATTTTATTTACCCTAAGTGTCGAAATTAGTAACAAAGTTCCTCTATAGATGGCGTTGGTAACTGGTAAAACTATAAAAAAAAAATTTGAAAATGAACATCGTTTAGAACAACAACGTAAGCAGTCAACGGAGAAATGATTGCCCTGACACAGAAAACATTGTTTTAGAGTTTTTTTCAGTTACCAGTTCCATATCTTATTAACTTTGGAAGAAAAAAAAATTTCAGCTGAATAATCATATTTTTTGCGAAGGAGCTCAAACTTTCGACTACTATCTTGATTGAACTGTTGGAACCATATTTCTCACATGCCGACAAGGTACGTTGAAGTTTAAAAATGTGAATCCCTCACAAAATATGTTTATTCAATGAAAATACATTCTTGTGTCTGGTTATTTTTAACTTAAAAAAATTTATTTTGCATTATTAACTTATTTAGGTATGTCAGCCGATCTCTCGAAGTGCGTGATAATCTATCCATTTGAATATTGCGTTACCGGTTGCCTCAAAATAATAGATGATTTAAAAATTCAACTAGATAAAAACGGTAATAGATAATTAAAAAAAAGTACAGTTCAGCTGCATTCAGAGTTATTCAGATTCTGAGTAACTAAACTTTTTTTACACACTGTGTTTATTGTTTTAAATTGCATTTGTTAAAACGAAATGTGAAGAAAAAAAATATTAAAAAAATGAAGTGGAGAAACTGGCATTCGTTAGGACCTCTGACTCGATCAGGGCACTAAATGGCTAAAGCCGATGTGTTAAATTAACAATAATTTGTTATTAATATTATTAATAATGAGTAGCAAATACTATTTAGTAAGTACTTTTAGTTATACTATTAGTAATTTATATTTAAAATAAAATTTGAAACTTGGTATTTTTATAGTGCATTTTTCAAAAGAACTTAACCATAGAAACTAAACCGTCTGGGTTGATATCTTAACATTGGAATATTAATCAAAAAAGTTTGAAGATTCTCTGTGAAAAGTTATTGATATATTTTAATTAATTTTTAAGTAATAAAAGTTTAATTAAAACATAGTACATGCATTAACAAAACTCACAGTTTTCATCGTACACTGTTTAAAATTGAGCAGCAGTTCAGAATTACATAAATTTTTAAGACATTTTCAATATAAAATTTTTATTATTTGAGCACATAAAGGATGACAGGAAAATGATCGGTATTTTAAAAAATATTGATAATAACTACAATATTAATAATAAGTAATAAATATTGACTAAAAGTTATTTTTTGCATGGAATTATATTCGGAGAAATAAATTTTATAATTGAGGGAAAAAAGTTTTCAATTCGCTTACGGAGATGTGGCGAAATACGCAAGATGTGGCGAAACTAGCATCAATTGGAATATTTGGAATCACCCTCTAGAACCATTAAGATTGAGTTCTAGAACTTGAAAAGCCGATCGTTTTATATCAAAAGTATTTCCGGGTGGTCCGTTTATTTTTTTATGCACTGCACGTCCAAAAATATACAATAAAAATATGTTTCTTTATTTATTTTTGCTTTATCTCTTATTTTTTCCATATTGATGAGAGGAGGAATTTTCATATTTTGAATTTATTAAATAAACGAGAATGGAAATTAATTTTAAAAAATATACTATCCAGAACAGAATGCAGTGATTCTTACATTTTTATCCTTCTATTTTTTTTTTAAATCATTTGTCATTTGGAGAACTAATGGAAGTGTGCAACTTTAAATAAATTATACAATATAATTATTTATTAATGTAAACATGACCTCTTACTCCTCAAAAAATTAACTCCTTTTACGTTTTCCGTAATTTAATTCATCGGCAGGCTGTTCATCACTTTTCGAAACACTTTCTCCCATCTAACAAAAAGAACCATATTACCCACTCAAGAAGCTACGCCGTAAAAATAAATAAATAAAAAAAGAGTATTACAGAAAAAAACTCGAATTTCCTCCGTCCGACACGATTTTGTATGATTAGATACTTGTTCGAATCATTTGAATTCTGTAAAATATTCATATTGATTCGTTCTTTTCAGTCACACAAATAAGACGACGACTTACGAGAATCCTCGTAAGGAAACTGATGACGAGCCTCCACAGCCAAGGGAAGTCGAATTGATTCGTGATCCTCAGATGGGATTTGGATTTGTCGCTGGAAGTGAAAAACCAGTTATCGTTCGATTCGTCACTGAAGGTACACTTTTATTCTAAATTGAATTTTTCCTTTAACGTCATTTAAATCCTCACTGTGAATATGTTTTTGCTCTCTATTTGTTCAATTTTTATTTTTTCTTTAACTTTTCTATAATTGAATATTTAACTTCTAAGAAGTAGCTAGTAATTTTAAATATGCTTTACTACCAATCTTTTTCTCAAAATTGGATATTTAAATTCTTGGAAGTAGCAATTTTAAATGTTTTTTACAACATGTTTATTTACTTATTTTAATTTCTTTTTAATTTTTCTATGTGAGAATACTTAGCTTCATAGAAGTAGTCAGTAATTTTAAATGCTCTTTCTTTGCAATTTTATAAAACTTTTTTATAAATGAACATTTAACATCTAAGTAGTAGTTAGTAAATTTAAATATGCTTAACCACCAATTTTTTTTCTTTAACCGGACGTTTAGCCTTTTAGAAGTAGCAATTTTAAATGTTTTTCACTATAAATTTATTTAATAATTTTATTTATTTATTTTTTAACTTTCCTACTTATGAATGTTTAACTACATAGAAGTACTAAGTTAAATGTTCTTTCGTAACAATTTTTTTAAGCTTTTCTAGAATTTAATTACTTAGAAATTACTAGCAATTTCAAATAATTTTTACTACCAATTTATTTTTTTCTACTTTTTTATAATTGGATCTTTAACTTCCTAACAATAGCAGTCAGTTTTAAATGTTCTTTACTTCCAAAGTTCAAAACACTTGGCGCAAATTATCGCGTAAATTATTAAAGTTACCTAACTACTATTCTCAGTTATCGAAACATTTTAACAACTAATTTGCTAGAGAACTGTTCGCTAAATTTTATACATAGTATGTTAGGTCACGTAATAATATCATATTTTTCTCCTTTTTTTTTTTTTAGTTTAAAAAATATCTCATTCATTCAGTACACTTTTTTCAAAAACTTGGTAACATATTTATAGGTCTACATCATTATCCTTAAATACAATATGTTTTTGAAGAGAAAAAAAATATTTTCAATTCTTGAAACATATTATGATATGACGAGCAACAAAATATATTCATCATTCGGGCTGAATTTGATTTAGGAAAATTAGTGTCTTAAAGATTTGTGTACTTCCTTTTGGTTTCAAAGATAGAAATTATTGAAGAGGCAAAAAAAATTTGTAAGGAACACCTGAAATTTCACAAATGTGCAATAATGAGGCTCAGTTGGAGAAATCTAAGTACTTTAAATATAATAAAACTTCAAACGATTTGTTGTTATAGTTCTAATTTAGCAAATGAAATGTTATTTCAAATAGAAACTTATAAAATACATAAGTATGCAATAGTTTTGAAATTTATCACTAAAATAGAGATTTTAAATTTTAGTTTCAATTCTTAATGTCGCCCTTTTAAAGCGCAAATAATGAAGTTTTCGATTATAGAGAAAAATCTTAATTTAAAGCAACATTTTGCAACCAATAGTTACGCTCGGAAACAAATTTTGTGTTGCATTCATAGAAATACTTGATCTTGCTTAATACTGGTGTGGGTATTTTAAATCCGAAGTTAATTTTGCTCTTAAGGCTACAAATTTTTTAAATGACGTTTTTAGTTTTTTTCGAAAGCTTAAAAACGTTTTACGAAACTTGAAATGTTTCAACAAACTTCTAGGGGAGTTAAAGCACAGCATCAAGATTAAAATTTCATGTGAACCTATGTCCGCAAAAGTCGTTGTATTCAGCTAGAGGCGCTTCCCCTATTATGAACTGCTCATGAGCACACGAAGAAACAGCTCATAATAGTTACGAAAAAAATCTGTTAGACTGTCGGAATTATATTTGTACTAAAATAAAAAATCCAAAAAAAGTAGTTTTAAAAAAAAATTTCAGTCTTATTCAAAATTTTACAATAATTTATTTTGTAAATTAAAGAAATTTCAATAATGAATCTCTTAGATTTAAATAACTGCAAATAAGTGCAAATTTGAAAACTTATCGTTCGGAAGGGAGTCGTGTTTAGTAGATTTGAAATTTAAAGCAGAAAAAGTATTTCACAATGTGTTTCAGAACCATTAATTATTAAAATGCGAAATATAATGTTTTTCACTTGCTTTGGCCAAAATTAATACATAATAATGAAAAAAGTAGGAAAAAAATCATAAAAATTCTTCATTAAAGAGTTTAATTACAAGTTCTTTTAAATCGAATGAGCAGTTGCTTCAATGTGATATAAATATATATTTCTTAATAAATTGAGGTTCATGCTTCTTTTCAGTCTTCTCTTCAGAACTTCTGTTCAGTCTATCAGGCAATCTCTTTCTTTATTGGGATTTCAAGAAGTGATCTATAAAATTATTCCAAATTTTTAATGCATAGAATTCAAATAAGCATTTTAAAATTAGTATAAAAAAACATTTGAAGTGGCCAACGATATTTCTTCTACAATTACTGACAAATGTATTCGTATAAAACTTGTTTTTCTTCCCTATTAACAGCATTCGTTCGATCGAAGTTCGTGATATCGAGGTCCGAGACTGTACTTCTGGTTGATTGTTATAAAAGACTCATTAAATATTGCACTAACAAAATTTTAATACAAAAATTCCACTTCATGAAAAATTAAACTAATACTGATTCGAAACTGAGTAAAGAACCATTAAAAAAAAACATTTTTTTTTGCGCGATGCATTTAAATTATGATAAACTAAATTTATCTCAGCTATTAATGAGGGAGAAATAAATTTATATCGAAAACTAGATTAATCTCCTTCTTAAGTTAAAATAACTTCCTATATTTTCAGGTGGTCCTCATGAACATAAATTTGTGCCAGTTGATCAGGTGCTTGAAAGTTTTTGTGATATCGAAAAATTCGTGTTATCGAAGTTTATATTATCAAGGTTCAGTACTGTATTTCTGGTTGTTCAACATAAAAGTCTCTTTGAATATTAATAAAATGCTAACAAAAAAAATTCACCTCGGAAAAAACTAGCCTAATACTGAATTAAAATTCGAAAACCGAATGAGAAACGATTAAAAAACTTTTCTTGAGGGGTATATTTAAATTATGATGAAATAAATTTATCTCGGGTATTAATGAGGGAGAAATAAATTTATATAAAAATCTAGATCTCGTTATTGAGTTAAAATTCCTTCGTTTATTTTTAGGGGGTCCTAATGAACATAAATTGATGCCCGGTGATCAGATAATGAAAATAAACGGTGAAGATGTCCTGCGTTCTCCAAGAGAGCATGTAATTGAACTTATTAGGTAAGTTTCTGACTCACATTTGAAACAGAGTTAAATATACATTTCCATTTATACCCTTGAGATCAAATTTGTTTAAATTAAATTTTCAGGTCTCGATTCAAAATCTTTTGTTTCAATAAATTCATCTTAATTAAACTGCAAACAGAAATAATGTATCGTTTTGACTAAATATTTCACAATCAGATATTTTGCAGCATAGCATTGATTTTTAGCTACTTTTATAAACTTCCATAATATGTTATAATAACCCTTTGACGTAAATGGAACAATGGTGTTCCTTTTATCTATGATTTTTTTCTGTCTAATAGTCTAATAATAAAACACAGTCTAATAGTTACTAAAAAAATCTGTTAGATCGTCGGACTTACGTTTGTACTAAAATATAAAATTCAAAAAAGCAGCTTGAAAAAAAAAATTTCATTCATATTCAAAAATGTATCAATAAATAATTTTGTAAATTAAAGAAATTTCAATGATGAATGACTGTTTTTATTAAATCTAAATAACTGCATATTTAAAAAATCATTGTTTGGATTTTACCTTTAGCGCAGATAAAGGGCACCGGTGTTCCTTTGCTGTGTTTCATAACCGTAAATTATTAAAATACTAACTTTAATTTTTTTACTTGTTTTGATCTAAATTGATACAAAATAATGAAAAAAGTATGAAAAATATGTTTAAGAAAAAAATTCTGCGTCAAAGGGTTTTAATTTTATTTTATAACCGTCATTGTAAAACCAACCCAATTTTGAGTTCACTACAAAAAATGCTTAACCTCGCAATTTTAAAACCAATCCAGAAGACAAGGGAACTACTGAATCAAGTATTGGTAGACATTTACTTTCATGGAGGTTTTTTTGACGGCACTAACCCACATTTGTGTTTTATGGAGAGGAAAACCGCGAAAATCTCCCACAGTTAGCCTAACGGCAAGATTACTCTAACCCATGGTCTGTCTATCGCTTCGGATATTTTGCGTCAGCACTGTGGTCATTGCGAGCCGTGTGCAAAATATATTTCGTCCAGCCATCTCTAGGATTCGAACCCGGGTCGCGTGATTGGAAGGCGAGTGCTCTATCCCCTGAGCCACCACGGCTCTAACGCAAGTATGGCTCATAACTCTCAGCCTATTTATAATTAACAATAAACAAATCACAACAATGTGATTGGCGTCTCAATTATCAATCTTACAATGATTGAACTTAATACGCGATGCATAAAATGGTATTTCAATTGATTCACGGATTGCTATTAATAATACAATAAATTTTCACTATTAAAAAAGAATTCATTTTTGCTTTAGATGCTTTTAAAATAAACTCGATATGACTGTATTTTTTAATTTCTTTTTTTTCTATTCTTTTTGATGGTTATAAATAAATTGTTTAATTTTATTAAATAATTTTTTATAAATTTTAAGATTTATTTATAATTTTATGAAGTTTATTTTAGAATATTTTGAAATTTTTCATACCTTGTTTTTAATTTTAGATCCTGTAAACAAACAGTTACGCTTTTAGTATGTCAACCTCACACAAATAATGTAAGTGCTATTGAAGTATTCATTTTTAGCATGACTAAAAGATTTCAATTTATGGGGGAGTTTTGTTTAAAAACTTGATAAATAATACAACAATTTAAAATAACTTTAACTTCCTAGCCAGAAAAGAAAAAAGTGATGTTTTTTTTGGATAATGATATTACTCTTAGAAGAAGCGTCACATAAAATTGCTTCATTATTTTTCTATTCTATATTGATATATTCTGTATAGATATATGTATTCTAAAAGATTCGTATTAGTTTGCAGATCAGTCCGACACTCTTCTAATGGTTTCATTTTTCAGTCACTTTCAAATATGGGGAACTTTTTGAAAAGCGAACCGTTTTTTAGAATTAATTATAATTCATTTTTCTTAAGTTTCACCTAGTCAATCCCTTGTTCAAATTATTTTTAACGAAATTTCATTCTAAACGTCAATGCAAACATTTTGTTTCTTCTTACTGGCTTAGAATACAAACATTAAAAGTACTAAAAGACTGACATTTTTCACGCTGTTTCCCTAACTATGTACAAAAAAATCTGTTTCTCCTTTTTCTTTGTTACTATACAGTATGTATCCATTGTTACTATACAAAATGTACAGTAATTCACTATAACAGTTACATAATTTTGGAAAGAGTCCTAACTGCCATGCAATTGAAAAATCAACGTAAGCCATAAAAAATTAAAAATTGAGATTTTAATATATTTGGCTTCTTTGTATAGATATATTACAAAAAAATATTCAAAAATAAATTGTGTTTATGATTTTTTTAAGTTTTATTTTAGAGTTCATAGCATTAGCAATAGAAAGAAACTCGTTGTTAAATAACTATTCTCTGAATCAATCGTGACGCACTTACATTGTTTTTGTAATTGCAAGGCAAATATACACTTTTATGTATATATATACACTTATATACACTTTTATACACAGTTTTAAATATACATTTTGGGCGAGTAACATTTCATGAATCTAAATTCACTCTACGTTATATTTTGAACTTAATAACTCATTATCAGGCCTATTCCATAGTTTTACATAGCTAACAATTTTACGTAGTTATTCAGATTTCACAGACAGTAATTAGTCAGAGGGCAAAAGTAACATTTTTTACCCATTTCACATGTTTAAATTTTGTTTAAAATATTTCTTAGTAGTTCGTTAGCAATCAGGTTAACAAATATTGCCTAGAGACATTGATTTGCGTCTTCTTTATATCAAATAAAAATAGACACATCAAAAGAATTTTTAGCCAATTAACGGGTTGAATTATCTATATGCCTATTTTGATAATGTAATGCTTAAAATAAATATGAAGCATTGACTTTTTCAGACAACAAGGAAGTCGGCCTTGCTCACAGCTGCAAAAAAGGCCAAACTGAAAAATAATCCAAATCGAGTACGATTTTCGGAAGGTGTTGTCATTAATGGATCCCCTCTATATTCTGTAAGTTTCTATTTTTTTCATTCTGGAAATAATGCATAGTTATATCATGTATAACATATAAATATATTTTGATAACAAATACATATAAATTTCGGATCAAATCACTGTAAAAAGTACCTGCACTCAGAATACCGATACGTAAAATTCACTTTTGCCGCAGCATGTTACGGAACAAAGTATTTGATATACCATAAATTAAATAATTACCTTGAAATCACTGCTCTTTCAATTAAATAAATATTATTGTAAAAATTATGGTATAATATTTTACGATAAAAATGGATTTTACGGATGGTGCACCCAAAGTGCCGATACTTTATATTGTAATCTGATCCAGAAATTTTTACAGTGTGGCAATAAACACCAATATTTACCTTATTGAAGTCATTGATTGGATAATTTTTCTGTTTGTTATGGTAACTGCTTATAGAACATTCTTATTTTTCAGAATTACAGTTCTACACATTTAGTAAAGATACAAAGCTGAAAACTTAATTGAAAAAATGTTTTCAGCTCATTATCTCCCTCATTTATTAAGAATCACGATTAAACCTCCGATAATGATCAGATTATTCCTCAGAACGCACCAATTTTCGTAAATTTTGAAATTTCGATTGAAATGTCTTTTAGCAAAATAAAATGGTAATAGACCTTATAAACTACCTTGCTTTCTGGTATAATTTAAACAAAATGCTGGTACTGTATTGATAAGATTTGAATGACTGTTAATGGATGATTTCTCTCATAGTTTATTTCACAAACATACGATTATGAAAAGAAAAAAAGCATGAATGATGCTTTCTATTAGAATTTGAAGTGTGTCCACAACGGCACACGCTTTCTTAAAATTGAAATATTTAAAACATTAAATAAAAAACATCGAATCGTAAGAGTTCGAGACTGAAATATATTTAAATCTCAGATATATTTTTTAAAAATATCATTACTTAAACTAAGTAAATAAACATTTATTGTTAAATAAATAATCCCAAGAAACTGAAGAGGTTAGATATTATTTGATTAAGTAACTTCATTGACTTCAAAAATATGCAGATGGAAGTAAAAATCAACACTCAAAAAATCCATTTTGAAGACATGAGTAAAAATAAACAACAGGCAAGTATGGAGAATGTTCACCAATTTTATGAGCTCTTGAAACATGTTTACTTTTATTTCCACCTACGTATTTTTGAAGCCAATGAAGTTTTTTAATCAAGAATAATTTCGCGTATTTTTTTATTAATTTTTATTTTGTTTTCGTTTCTTTTTTCTTAAACTTTATTTTATTCCGCATTCGCCTGATTTTGAGAATGGTGTGCTGGCACCCGTCACATTCTACATCCCAAACAATACAATCCCAGTTAAATGGGAGTTTACCGTTACATTTTTCATTAAACTGGTAAAAAATTTAATTCTACTACTTGTATTAATCATTAAATATCATTCGCGTTACATTATTAAATTTAATGATCTAGAGATGGAGAAAACTAAAATGCAGTATCATCAAAATATTCTAAAAATTCTTTTATAACTTCATTCGTTTTAAGTTTCATTACCAGTAGAAAACAAAACTTTAATAAAAATTTTAAATAATCTTTTTTGATGAAGAACTTAATTCATATTTTAGTTAATTGATTCAGTTAAAACCAAATTGAGCTTTATAATGTCAAAACAAGTCCTATATGTTAGTATTAACCCATTCTTGTTTTACAGCCATCTCCAAATGACTCATATGTTCCTTTCCTGCCAAATGTGCTAAAAGTATTTTTAGAAAATGGTCAAACAAAATCATTCAAGTACGACAGTACTACAACAATACAGGTAACAACCTTTCTCTACGTTTTATTCCGTAGTTATTCTCCATATTTTATTCCATAAAATATTCGTTCAATTCTTTTAATTGGATTTAAATGAAAATTAAATCTGATTATCAATCAGATTTTATATTCCATTGTTAATAAGCACTTATGAAATAGTGAAAAAAGGATTAACATTGTTTAAAAAAGTAGCAAAACTTTAAATAGAATATAAAAATATATAACTTTGTCCTCCTGATTTTCCTTGGCGCAGTTTTTTATTTAATTCCTATTAGACACCAATGGAAAGATCCGAATTGTGAAGCTCATTGATGTGAAATTTTATCCAAAACACGTTGATTGAAGGTTAGATTTAATAATGCAAATATTAAAAAACAAATGACTAACTGCTCCAGTTTATGATTATAGTAGTTATAGAGTTATTACTCTATAACCATGACAACCTTCATCTATGAAAGGGTACCCCGACATAGAGTCGAGTTAACATGTCTTATATACTAGTGTATTGTAGTGGTAGATACGCTACAGTACTCCCCCACCAGAATTATAGTTGTGATAGAATTCGATGAACGGATACGATGCTGTTTTGTGAGAAGCCAGGAGAGCTGTATTAAGATCACCGTACTTTTTGAGTGCTGAATGTGAGAGGTGTATTAACTTCACGGTCGTAGTCGCTCCTGTGTCGCCGTTAGCAGTCGAGTGTATGCAAGCCGACGTTGTGCATGATCAAGACGAGACTGAGTAGCAACAGTGCGAGGAGGTGGATAATGTCGCAGTCACAAGTAGCAAGTCAACTGTTCAATGTGGTCCATCCATCGAAGTAGGCGTTTTCATATCGAAGTGGGAGTTACCGTCAAAGTCACGTCCGAAGGTCATCAAAGTGGTGATAGTAGTTATAGAGCTATAGACCATGTCAACCTTCATCTATGAAAAGGTACCCCGACATAGAGTTGAGTTAACATGTCTTATATACTAGTGTATTATAGTTGTAATTTTGTAGTGGTAGATACGCTACAAGTTAAGAGCATTTTCACATGGAATGAAAAATACATAAATATTTGATATTATAAAAGTTTTTTATAAGAAAGACGCATAAATTTACATATTTTCTTAAATTTTTGCTAAGTAATTATGCTTTGCCGCACACAAGCATAATTACCAAGTTAGAAGTATTTAATTTCTTTTAAATACAACAATCAAAATAATGAATGCATTTGGAATTAGTGTTGGGATTATTGTCATCAATTTTTCTGAAAACTTCGAAAAACGCATGCGAGAGAACAAGAAAAAAATAGACAAACCATTTCAAGCAAAAAGTAACTCTGGTAGCAAGAACCAACTACTTGTAATTCACAAGTTTAAAACAACTTGAAAAGATCGTAAATAAGTTCACATAAATAGATAAATGATCATAACTATACAATACTGAACCACCAGAGTTAAAACACAGAATGAATTCGCAAAATGCAAAAATGCAGGTGAAATTGTAAAAAATTCGCAGTAAGGAAAAAGAAAATTGTATAATAAGAAACAAGATTGTCAACAACACCTGAGAGATAATGTAGCGTCTGTTTATCTCTCAACTCCAGCTGTTCTTGACGATCTTGGTCGATTCCTCAAAGAGACGAATACTCTGTCTTCCTTACAGCAAAATGTTTATAATTACCTATGTTTTTTTCTGAGTTCATTCTGTGTTTTAACACAGAACAATATGCTTTATTAATGCATCCAAATGATCATATGTCTGCTGTTTATGTGAACTTATTTGTACTCTTTTCACGTTATTTTAACTTTATTTGCAGCACAAACAAACCTGATTTATTTCAGCACGTAATGAAACTTATAAAATTAAGCAACGTATTCACGATAAGATAAATAAGAACCACTCCCCCTCGTAATGCTAAATTTATGAAAGCTAAAAAATAACAACGATTTAAAATAGAAAACAATATATTAAATTGGAATTAAAGTACTTCAAAAATTCTATGGCAGAGAAAAAAAAATTCTTATAAAATTACTGTACTGCACAGTGGTGATATTTATGTTGTTGTTTTTTTACAAATAAAATTGGTTTTTAAAATTATAGTTTTTGTTACCACACATTTAGCAAAAAATACAAAACTGAAAGTTAAACTTAACCAAAAAAATAGTTATTATACCATGCTCTAAGATATCATGATAAAATTAATAAATTTTACTACATTTACCAAATTTTATTATTTTACCAAATTTACCAAATTAAAAAAAAATTTATCACAAATTATAAAAATCACATTATGTTGCTAAATTTACCAAAATCATAAAAGAAGCGCTTCGGCAGTACCGATCTTTTTAGCGTACCCATAGCGCCAGAAACACGGTAAATTTTACCCTATTCTTGCAGTTTTCTTATTCTCGGAGTAGTAATCAAATTATTCTCAACCATTTTATTTTAAATTGCATTCCTTTAATATTCAACTTTAACTCTTACAGGATGTACTGAAATCTCTGCAAGAAAAACTCTCCATCAGTTGTGTCGACCATTTTAGTTTAGCTACTGAGCATGTTAAGATCACTCGCCGGAATAGGTTGACAATTTTGGATCCTAAAGACACACTCGCGAAGGTGAGAATTTAAATGATTCTCTTGGTAAACAATGTTAAACATTTCACCAAAAATATAATATTTTTGTTATTTTGTTAAATATTTCAACAAAAATATAAAATTTATGTTATTTTGTTAAATATTTCAACAAAAATATAACATTTATGTTATCTTGTTAAACATTTCAACAAAAATATAATATTTATGTTATTTTAGATTGCAGCCAAACCCGGAGCACATCACTTACGCTGTGTATTCCGAGTTACTTTTGTTCCTAGAGATGCGTATGATTTATTACAGAAGGATGCAGTAGCTTTTGAGTATCTTTATTTGCAGGTAAGTGACCATTATTTCTTGAAACTATCCTAACGTGATAGATATGATTTCGGGAGCCAAAAGTTGAGAACTTTTATATTATGTACCAGTACTTTCCAAGTTATTACTTGAGAAAAAAAAATTCAAAAATACGACTTTTTTCGAAATTTTATAACTCAGAAATTATTTGTCTAATTTTGTTCAAATTCTTTATTTTTTTTTTCATTTCAAATTGCACAGTTTTAAGGGATTTAAAATATTTTGTATCATACCCTAAAATGTAATGTTTATACTTTTATTAAATGAAATAATTTTAAAAAAATAATTATTAAAAAAAAATTTACGAAATTGTCTATTAAAGAGTTTCTAAATTCTGAGCAAAATTTCATTGATTTGCTTTAAAAGTTTCCAAGATATGGCAAAAAACACAAAAAGTGAAATTAAAATCAAGGGTCCCATACTTTCGACAGCTATCCTGATACCACACTATTTGAGACACATTTTTTAGATTGCGGTTCCCCCTCCCCATACTTTGATAATCAAAAATCAAAAATCCGATGCCAAAGAAAGTACGTTTTTGTATCTTAATCCGTAATTTAATTCATAATTAAGCACTAATTAATTCACTTATTTGATTTCAACTTTTGAACGATTAAGATTGTTTTTAAATGCGTGATCATAAAAACAAAATTATTCGGGGTGTTATCTTTTTTATCTTCGAGTACATACCTAGAAAAAATCTTGATTTGTACAACAGTACAATTGTACTAAGCTTTTATATGTGTCAAAAATGCACTGAATTAGGTTTGTTAAACATAATTCTGTTCTATAAATAATAACAGAGAGTCCTTTATCCTACTTTTAGTATAGATAAAAAAAACTGTATAAATAAAAATATATTGATCCAATGTCATCCCGAATCGAAACCTTAAAATAAGCAACTGATCCTACGATTTTCAATAGTAACTACTAAATACTTAAAAAATCATAAAAAATTGTCTTTAAAGCATTTCAAATATAACGAATTATTGATTTTCCCTTAAGTCGTAAAATTATTTGAAATAACAGACATATGGTAATAATTTAACCAATAGGGGAGAGTGGGGTCAATTGTAACATTTCTTACTAAACTATTTTTAACTAACAAAAAATCCAATATATTATTAGTATTAATTGACAGACGAGTAAAGTAGACTATCCTCTACTAGAAAAAAAATAAATACCTTATTTTAAATGTTATTATATTAGTTATTAACAATTTTTGACAGTCGTGCACTTGTTACAATTGTCCCCACTTACGGGGTCAATTGTAACAGTTCATAAATTCAACTAAAACATAGTTAATTATACATATTATCATAGTTGTGATATATTTTTTTATTGATCAAAATAGTAGTGATATTTTAGGAGTAAAAATAATAATGAGCAGAGACCTAAAGGGTTAAACTTTTAACTTTAAGGGGTTAAAAATTTTAATTTATGCTGTGAAAGGTGACAAATAAAATAATGCACATGCAACATAATATAAATGATATAGGAAACTATTGGTGGTTCTTAAAGAGTTAAGTAATGGTTTGTAAACATAAGATTATTTATTTTCAGCTGTTACAATCATCCCTTTACTTATTGTTACAATCGTCCCCAAGACGCCATTTCAGCTTCATTTGTTAAAAACAATGCTAGTTAATTAACAAAGCAATTTTTTTTATTGAAATGCTAATTAAGGTGTCCAATTACATATTCGGTTAATAAATTTTAGTTGTTTAAACAAAATTACTTTGTTGCAATATAATATTCTAATACCAAAAAGAGTACTTACATAGCGTGAAAATATCTTTTGTGATGTAACTCTTTCAAAAGTACATAAAAATGGTTGCCAGCAGGAGTGTACACGTAGATTTATTAAATACACCTTGTGTGCCACCTAGGAACCAATTCTAGAACCCGACACTCGAAATTTTTGCCCTGTTACAATTGACCCCACTCTCCCCCCTACAGTTGAAATTTATAATGCTTTAGTTTTGGAAACAGAATTTTATATACTTAATTTTCATTCTAAAATCTGAAAATAAGGTACCCATTTTTTAAACCGTCTGTAAATTTAAGTATTTTATCAGCGTTTTGTCTTTAAATCTATTTTTCTTAGTTATTTTTTTTTCTCCTGGCCGTCATTTTCTAATAAACCTAATAAATTATAACTAGATAATTTATTTAAGTATAGCATGTTGCTTAAATTGATGAATTCATTCACACTTGAATATTGATAAATATTTTATATTTTTTGAGTGTCAAAATAACTTCTTTTCAAATAATTTCAAAATATTGTGTGTGTGTGTGTGTGTTTTTTTTTTTTTTTTTTAAATTTAAAGAAGACTACATATTTCAATTTTCTTGAAGTAGAACAGTTTTGAAAAGAACTTATTTGACAGGCTAAAAAAGTTGTTTCAAATCAATATCATACTTCTTATGACTTTTATCATAAGCACAAGACATCATCTTTTTTTGTCTTCAAATTTCATCTCTGAAAAAAATAAAATTTTAAAAGTTCTTTGCGTTGTTTTACAAAAGTGGTTTATTTTAAATAATGGCTGTGCTTTTGTTTAACTCTTGAAAAAATTCAGAATCCTAAGTAAAATTTTAGATAAGTTCTAGAAAGTAGAAAAAAATATATACTCACAACTAAATACAAACCATATAGACTCATTAACAATGCAGTGTTACCAAAAACTGAATTGTTGCTATATATTCATGAACAGTGACTTCTTTTATGTTGAACGAGCAAATTTTAAAATAATTGTTGTCATATGCCACTAAGGCAGGAAGGTGCGCTTCTTTTTGTTTTCCAGAGGCGCCATCTATGGCCAAGAATTGCAACTTTTGTCACACACGTATGTCACAGCCCGTTTTACAGGGAGGACACATTCATACATCGTTCATCCCCAGATCTTAATTGTGATTTGAACCAGAGCACGATCAATCCCCGATCCAGTACCCCCAAGGGTATTGATTTGTTATTGGAGCTTGACTAATTTTGTGACCCCGACAAATTTAGCGTACACAAGTCAACATTTTGTATACAGGGTGGCTTCAGCTGTCGGGGATCGAACTCATGACCTCTTAGACATGGACCCAACACCCTATCAACCAGGTTATCCTGCCCCTTTTAAAATAGTTAAACTATTTAAGTTGGAGGGGAAATCACAATTACTATTATTTAAGAACAACCCTTTTCCTATAAAAATTCTAAACCCAGATATGAGTGCATCGATATCCTTATCTTTAATAAATATTCCTATAAAATATTCATGTTTAGGTCTAATGTTTTAAAAATTATTTTTAAAATCCTACAGAAAGGCAGCTTCCATCTTCATTAGTTTGCTATGAATATAATTTTAAAACACCCACGCGTCATGGCATTGAAAATATACTTAAATAAGCGATTTCACGAAACCACTAAATTCAAAGTAAAAATATAAAAGTGCAAAAAATATAAATGGAATGAAGATCAAAGAGATGGATATAAAATATTCATAAAAATATTTTTATTTTCAATTTACATTTGTTCAATGTAACGAAAAAAAATGCTTTTATTTTGAATTCAAACTTTTTTTCTGTTTATTTTCATGCATTCGCAACTGTCTTCTCTTAATGTAAAAGCGCTTCTTTTGATTTTCTTTAACTACAAACTAGACATTTTATATTTGTCTGTATTTTTTTTATGAATATTTTATGAAAAATGACTGCATATATTTTCACTTTTCTGACGATAGTAGGAAAATGACTTTTTTACATTCAAAGCTTGTTTACAAATGTTAAATTTGATACGCATCTTTCTTGTCAACAAACATTTTTATAAATCTCAAACAAATTCGGTGGCTTATGAATTGATATTTTTTCCAGAAATTATATGATTAAATGAGATGACGGTTATTTAAAGTTTTTAAATATTTGATGAGACTACGAAGTATTTTACTAAATTACTTAGAACTGCAACTGACAAAAGAATAGTTTTATTTATTATTGCATGGCTTTCTAAAATCACAAATAGTACAGTAAAAATAATTAAAAAATTTAAACCCGAAAAAATTCACGCTTGCGGCAAACTGCTAAGTACCCTCCTCATAGTAAATGGTCAAAAGTTTCAAATACTCACTCGTCTTGTTTTGACAGGGAAGGGAAATGGAGGGAGAAAGTTACATTATGCTATTTAGACATATGAAGTATTGTTTCCAATGTAGTTTTTCAAAACTGAATTAAATGAGGCCAATTTCGAGATCGTGTAACTAATAGTTTAGAAGTTATAGGAGTTTTATATACAAAAGGTACAATTTTATACTGTTCTCTATTTACGCATCTGACATTGCTATCCAAACTGGTAAAGCATGGTTTTCTATGTTCTTCAAGTTTTTGCTGAATTAAAATTTTGCACAAGAATTAAAGTTGCCACTCCTAAACCAGATATTTCAGCTTGATTACTAAGATACTAATAAAATACGTGAATTTCTGGAACTAAAATTATTTTTGTGAGTAGTTTTGACGGTTATTATAAATCTGAAAATAGTTGCATCGATCATTAATGTGTGTTATCCGGTACTAAATACTCTGTACCGGTTCTTGATACTAAGAACAGGGTCTGGGTAATGAATTTTTTACCGGGTAATTGCCAGATTCATGTCTAATTAAAACTACGTTGCTAGGGATTTTACGTATTTATTCAAATTTTGAATTATCTTTGCTGGTTCTCTTCCTATTGTACAGATTTCACAAAAAAATACATTTTTTGTAAGTATTTAAAAAAAGTAATTATTAAAAATTTGTCAACAGTATGAAGCAATATGAGTTAAAGTTATCAAACAATCCATTTAAATATTTGGGGAAAAACGCTTTAACCTCTAAAAACTTGTAACTCGAAAATCATTATTTTGAAACTAGCGATATCTATAGGGGAGAGTGGGGTCAATTGTAACATTTTTTACTTAACTATTTTTAACTGACAAAAATTTCAATATATTATTAGTATT